TCACAAAAATACTCTTATTTAAAATAATATTCCAATGCGCCTCACCGTGTCGAAGTCCTGGTCACGGAGCATCCTAATGTACCGACAGGACAACAGACTGGGGCTGCTGCAGTTGAACGTGTCGATCGTGTCCAGGGCCGGGTCGGCGCAGTCACCCTCGGCGTTGAACACGGCCAGCTTGAGGCCCTTGGGGTCGCGGCCCACCGTCATGCCGAACAGCATGCACTGCACGACCGGCAGCAGCGTGAGGAAGGCCACCATCCTGCACAGCAGCGGGAGGCGTGAGTGGTGAGCGGGGTCGCGCCTGGTCGCGCCGTGCGGGTGCGCAACCCATCAGGCGCGCCGCAGAGGAGCGGGCGGAGGGAGTGTCAGGGCGACAGGACAGGGTGGTATTACCTCAACGTCAAGCACTCGAAATTAATTGGCAAGTATGGCAACTCGTAAAAAACAATACAATATTACAAAAATGTAGAAATTCACAAAAGGGATTACAAAAAAATATAACAAAAAATTGTGAGTTGTTTTCCGTTTTGCTGAAGTGTAGACTGTACTCACGGCAGATTCCTCCTCATCCACAGGACGTGCTTCCACAGTAGGCAGGACATGCGCGTCGAGGAGGGGGTGGGCGGCCGCTGGTGCGGCGGGGCCAGCGCCGGGCCTAGCGCCGGGCCTAGCGCCGGCCCGGAGGACTTGGCGGCGTGCGGGGACAACGTCACCAGCGGCACCATGGTGCGAGGCGAGCTGTGGTTTCCGTGTCCGTGCTTGAAGGCCTCCGGGCTCGCCGGCTCGGGCGGCGGTGGCGGCTCGGCCGGGTAGGAACTTTGTGTGTTTTGGTTGTTGTCGCGCGCCTCGACGACCTCCTCCGGGTCGTCGGGCGAGGTCCGGATCTGCAGGACGCTCAGCTTGAGGAACACGTCCTCCATGGTGGCGCAGTGGTAGCGCTCCAGCAGGCGGTCGGGAGCGTCCTCTGCCAGCAGCACGCCCTGCCGCATCAGGCCCAGCGTGTGCGCCTGCCGCGCCTCCTCGATGTAGTGCGTCGTGATGATGACCGTCGTCCGGCCGTCCGAGGTGATGTCCATCAGGTGATCCCATATCCTGCGAGATTGGAGGAAAAAAAAAAACAGATGCTAGAAATATTCAGAACGCTAACTGGAGATTTTAAAGCCCACTAAACAACATTGAAAAGATAAAAACAGAATTACAGAAAAAATCAGACATTTTAAAATAAACATTCTTCTTTAAATATTTCCCCAAAATTCTTTTCTGGGAGATAAAAACCCTTATGTGTACAATTAGGCGGAACCTGAAATCACCTCTGTCGCAAGACGGGGTCCACGCCGACGGTGGGCTCGTCCAGGATGAGGAGGGCGGGCTGGTGCAGCAGCGCCACGGCGAACGACACCCGCCTCTGCTGGCCGCCGCTGCAACAGGAGAGAGAGGGACGTCCCGGTAGTCTCATATTCATTCCATTCTCATTTCGTTCACCCGGTGTTCGCTCGGCTGCGGCTCGTCCTCGAGCACCCGTCGCTTGATTAATTGATGGTTACAGGACAAGCGGGCGTGTTTTGTTTTTTTTTCATCGTGGTTAATTTTTTTTTTTTTAATAAGCAAGGGAAGTGTGTGTTGCGGCGGAGTCCATATCTGCGCGACCCGTCACGCGCTGTCACGCGCTGTCACGGAGACGTCTGCAACGCCGCTTTTGTACGCTGTGTTTGCGAACCTGAGCTGGCCGATGAGGCAGTGCGCCGGCGGGAGGTCCAGGAACTTGAGCAGCGACGCGGACCTGGCGGCCAGCTCCTTCCTGGGGACGCCCGTCAGCCAGCCGAAGTAGCGGAAGGTCTCGGCGATGGTGAAGCCGATGTACAGCGCCAGCTCCTGGTATGTCAGGGGGGTAGTGCGTGAGACTGACTGAGTGTGTCGGACACCATGAGGAGGTGGCCAAAAATCTCAGGGGATTCCTACGGGATCCTTGGCCGTGCCCGCCATGGTGCCCTGATGGAGTCCATATTTTCTTTGGAAGCGGACTTTACCTGCGGCATGTACCCGACGGCGGAGCCGGGCACGCCGCAGCCGGGCGTCCCGGGGACCCGCCCCAGGGTGAGCACCTCGCCGGCGGTCAGGTGGTTCTGCCCGACGATGGACTTGAGGATGGTGGTCTTGCCGCAGCCACTCGCGCCAAGCAGGCCGTAGCTGCGCAAACAGGATGACAGTCAGCACAATGCATGGCACAGCGTGTGTGAGTTTTTGGACCAGGTTCGACGACCCTCCCCGGAGCGACTGCGCGACAAACGGGGACGCTCGCATGCAAAAGCGGCGGCGGCGGGGGCCGTTTTCTTTGGCGACGAAATGATTGAATGGGCTGAGGAGGTAGCGAGTCACGCGGCGGCATGGCGGCATATGGCAGTGACTGGCCACTACTGTGCGTGGCCTGGCCTGGCAATGACCTGACTCAAGCGGGAGCGTCCCGCTACGCTCCCACAGCCTGACCTGTCAACCCCGGGGCCATGCCGCGAGCAGGCGTGCTGCGTGGGAGGGTGCGCTTAGAAAACTGCCTTTATACCTCGAAGAAAATTCGTGTTTATTAATATTTTTAGCTCGGGTTTTAGCCCATGACTAGCTTGCAACCCGTACTTCTCGAAGTACTGCATGCGCAATACCAGAGACGAGCTAGGTACTTACATCGTGCCTCGCCTGACCGTCATGTCCATGCCCTTGATGACCATGTTAGAGACGGGCTTCCGAAACAGGGCCTTGTTCCGGTACTCCTTGTAGGCCTTGCGCACCAGCACGGCCGCGCTGTCGTCGTCCAGGCCGGGGAGACCGTGGTGGTGCAGGTGGCCCTGGTGGCCCTGGTCGTCCAGGTGGGCCTCCAGCCCCGCCACCCTCGCCCCGTCCGGGGCCATGGCGCCCGGGGACCTCCTGAAAGCAATACAGAGCAAGGTTCATAACAGATCCCAATTTCCATTTTTCATGACTTTTCCCTGATTTCCAGACCAAAATATCCTGATCGATCCCGATTTTCCTTGACTTTTATGATTACAATATGAGGTCAGGGTAGTAGAAATACAGTAAAAACAGGGCGCAAAAATAAATTCGTTATTTCTGAAAAACATGAAGAATAATGAGATCAGAATATTAGTAGAAGAATATATGCTCGCGTTACGCGAGTATCGCGTTTAATGCTCGCAAGCGGAGCAAGCGAGAATTTTTTTCAAATTCCAAATCTGTATCTTATGCTATCTCTAGTAGGACTACCTGGGTCATGGCCAGCATTTACCCACACTGGAAAGTTTTTCCTGACCCAAATTAAATTTCCCTGACTTTCCTCATTTCCAGACACCCCTTTTCTCCCTGACTTCCCTGACCGGTATGAACCCTGCGTAGGCATGCCGATGTGACGTGCGCGTTGCAGAGACAGGCTATCACCAAGGGTGGTCCGACCACGGCCTCACAGACGGTCCACCCACAGGGTGCAGGGGTAGATCGGCCGCCGCCTCCGATCCGGACTCGACTGCGCCGGTTGTTAAACTCCGAGCAAGGGTCCCTGAGGTTGCGAGGGAACGCGACGGTCAGAGACAAGTCGTAATCCCCTCTCCGTGCCCCCACTGCTTTCGTCCACGCACGAGGCGGCCACTTGCTTTTTAGCACTTCGCGTCTTGCGTGTCTTTTTCTTCTCTTTCGGTACCAGCGCACCCGGCAGGCTCTCAAACTCTCAAAGCGGCTTCTCCCTCTCCAGCTCTCCCGCCGGGCCTCTTCAATCGCGCATGAGACCCCCCCC